TGGCCATGGAGGAGATTGGAACACCTGAATCCAATGATTTGGAGGGGTGTCACAATACTTTTGGCAATATAGTGTGTGTGTGTATATTTATATATATATATATATATATATATATATATATATATATATATATATAAAATGCTGGTTAAATGGTACTTTTAATATCTTCCTGGAGCTTTATCAATAGTGACCCTTTATTTTGAAAATGTTATACCTGTAAAAGGACAGCCAGTTAGTCAACCAAAACCTTCAATGTTGTATTTGATTGAAAACCAATTATTCTTTTGCATTTGCTTTTTAAGGAATGTGTTAACAGTAACAAATCGATGCATACTAATGGAACAGCCATCAATGACATATTAAGCCAGGTAGGTCTATTTTATATTGTATGACATAAAGACTTATGTTGTTACTACTAACAGTGCCTGCACAGAAAGGATGTTGTATGCTATTTATTACTTCCTTTCCTCTCATATCTCTCTGGCAGTCCCTGGATTGCAGCTGTGAAAATTCTGTCTGACTTGATACAGTGTCATCATTACTCCTTTCTCAAATGGCATTTTTTTTTCTATTGGCTAACTGTATGTATTTCATTGTAGGTTCCAGAAACAATTGAGTACTGTCCGTGATACTTTTTTTATTTGCACTAACATACAATTTTGAGGCCAAGCTTTCAAGGAGTGTCCCCTTCTTCAAGGTCCAAGCAGTACTGCTTGGACCTTGAAGAAGGGGACACTCCCTGAAAGCTTGTCTTTAAAATTGTATGTTAGTGCAAATAAAAAAAGTATCACGGACAGTACTCAATTGTTTCTGTTGCAAATGCACTAATACGGCTACAATCACCTCAAGCATTGTAGGTTCCAGGAATTAGAAATCACATAGAAGTGCAACATTTTTTATTTGAATACCATGAAATTGAAATGTTAGTAGCATATACAAATTGCAGCTGCTTAAATCACCATGTGGCATTTCACCTTCCTCATGAGACCTGTTTTTGGAATTTTTTTGTGCTACCACCTGACCTGCATATTTTTCCCTAGTAGAAACGTGAGCTGGCGGTAATTCAACATTTCTGGAGTCATCTTTGAAAATCTTAGTTCTCCTTAGTCTTGGGATTCCACAAAGGAAGTCATTCTGTCATTCTTGTGCTGTGTGGAAAATAGGGACTGCTTCTTTTTCACTACTGGTAGGAATAAAGGAGCGTAAAATGGTGCATGTTTCCTTCAACGGTGGTAGCAGCAGAGTTGACTCTACACTCTGTACATACAGTATGGCCAAATGTGAATAAAACATTCAGATGGAATGCAGAGTAATAAAAGCAGAGAGGTGAAAAACACATCTATTATACAGTATTTATATAGCGCATCTACACATCTATACATCTACAAAGCTTGCCAGTGAGTGTTCAGTCATTATTGTATGTATGGCTGCCTTTAGATAAAATAGAAATATCCCTTACCATAATGAGTTCAGATGAAATAAAAAATGTCTCCACTCTAAACTCTTAATGTTGCTTTGGATGATGATGGCTGGAGGTACAGTATATTAAACTATTTTTTTTCTTTAGAACCCCAGTTGAAATACAAATATTCCCTGATCATCTCAACCTGATCATTTCCCACCTTCTAAATTAGATAAGATGGGTTCATTTGAAGAGCAAATAAACTGAATTATTTGAAGTTTTAAAGTGATTCTAAAAGCTCTATTTAAATATGGTATACTAACCTGCTCTGTGCAATGGTTTTGCACAGAACAGCCCCAATCCACCTCTCCTTGGGTCCCTGCCAGCACTCCAGGCTACTCCACACTTCATGTACCTCCCCTAGCAAGCTGCTTGCTAGGGGGGTACTTGGGCAGGCTCACCTCTGAGCCCCACTGGCTGTGTCTATAGACACAGCCAGCGGGGCTTTGCCCCACCCCTTCGATCCCTCCTCACTGGCTGTAATTGACAGCCGTGGGTGCCAATGTCTCTGAGCCAATGAGGAGGCAGAGAGCTGGGACAGCAGCTGCTCTTGTGCACATCATTGGTTCGGGATCAAGCTTGGGTAAGTATTAGGGTGGCTGGGGAGGGAGCTGCATAGTGAAGGTTTTATTACCTTCATGCACAGAATGCATGCAGGTAAAAAAACCTTCAGCCTTTACAATAACTTTAAGAAGCCATGTTTCAAGGCCACATTTATTATTTCCTACCATCCTAGGCTAGCTGTCTTTTGCAGTCCCCTCTTCTACCCCAGTTATTGGCTATTTCCTACCATCCTAGGCTAGCTGTCTTTTGCAGTCCCCTCTTCTACCCCAGTTATTGGCTAGCCTAAAAGTTACACTAACAAGATCAATTATAGCCAAATAAGGCATGCTGATGCTGAAGCAGACAATATGCCCTCTCTGCATCAGTACATGTAGAACCAACATAAAAGTAGTTACTAAAATTAACTAAAATAGTTAAACAAACTCTCCCGTCCCTGCTAGCAATTAAGCTTAAGGTCTCATGCACAGAGTGTAATTGCCCATGCTGCTAAATGCATTTGAACCTTGCAGCAGCATTATGGCAGAAAAACTGCTTGGTGCATGTAAACGCGTCTAGATATGTTTAGGCGTGCCATGGATTTGCGCATTAATTAATTTCATAATAATTTAAATCTGGCCATTGAAATGAATTAACAGCCAAGCTCTTGACGCACCTACCGTTAACCTGTTGTCATGCATCAAGTGTTTTCTTTCTGCTAAAATTATCCTCTCCAGAACGAGCAAGTGATGTTTTATTTCTGCCTCTAAACACTCCTGTCTAACAAGGCTAACATGGGGAGTTCGGGAGCATTAAGAGACAGAAAAAAATTCCAGATGCCACTAAAAGCCACTAAAAGCAGCATTTTTAACAATCAGTGTACATGAGGCCTTACTTGTACAGACCAGCTGCAAGTATGCAGCGCACTATTCTACCAACAAAAATACACAGACTGTACAACAATGAGGACCAGGCTGGGTGGCACTAGCTGGCATGTCAAGGACTGAAACAATTTATTGTACATAGGAATATGTTAGGAAGTCATCAGCATGATGTGTAGGTGGATTTAAAGTATATGTGAATCCTTACCTTGTGAAAAAACCCATTCAGTTTATAATAGAAATGAAAGGGAAATCATTTGTATAAATATGGCTGTTTAAGGGGGCTTTTCAGCACGTCTGATCATTGTAGGACTGGCAGGCTTTTCTTCCACTTGGATGGATGTGCTTCTGTGCCTAGCATGGTCAGTTTGAAATAGGAAAGCAGGGGAACTGTTAGGTTCACCGGGGATTTCACAAAAAAGGAAGAAATACAAAGAGAACAGGATACTTTTTAAGACAAGCACATGGTGCAACAGACACAAATCAGGAATCTGAAATGTTGGGTAACATTCTTTAAACCCCTCTGGCAGCCCTTCTATATAGGACATAATAAAAAAAGGAGGTACTACAATATTATGAGTGCTATACACTACTTATTATTATTATACAGGATTTATATAGCGCCAACACTTTGCGTAGCGCTTTACAAAATGAAGGTAGACATTACAGTTTGCAATACAATTTGGTACAAGAGGAAACAGAGGGCCCTGCTCATTAGAGCTTACAATCTACTAATAACTGCAGCCAGAGTTTCTATGCCTGTTCCTTGTATTCTCATCCCTGAATTACCATCAGGAAATGTATTTCCTCATTCTGTGTTTAAATTATAAGTAGCAGAACTGTCTATTTTATAGAATCCAGACAAACAGTTAGCCTCTCCTTGTACATCTTATTAAAGCTGACCCCCAGCTATTAGTGAAGTTTAAATAGTTTGATTTACCAAACTATTACATTTGTATAGAAGAAGAATTATTTTCTGTGCTTAGTGTATCCCACAATATCGGATGTTGCACACTATGTTATCTGATTACCAAAGAAATATATATCTGTATATGCATGTAGGTGTAATTCTTTAAAATCAATAAATGGTGATTAAAAATATGTCAACAAAAAAAATTGTATCAAATCAGCAAACAACAAGTGTCATAAGAGCATGCTCATGCCACTGAAAGTCCAGGTTGTGCTTTAAATATTACATGATTTGTAAACCAAAAATATCCATGCAAATTCTCCAACTGTGAAGTTAATCTTCAGGTAAGTGTTCTCATAATGTGTCCTCCACCACAAGTTGCATAGCCTCTTACTGGATCCCCATGATCTCTAGTTTAAGCATTGATCATACAGCACTTGTATAGTAGATCACTGGAAGGGCAGCCCACCTCGGTAGGTAATATTCACCAGGGGTTCCTCGGTCCACACAGAGAACCACCACCTCAGCACAATGGGACTCAAATAATCCTTAATGTGGGTACAGAGACAAGCAAGAAACGCCATGCATCCGTCAGTTGGCGGGTGTGATGAGATCACTGATTAAGCCCCACCCAATGTGTTTCGCTACCAAAGAACATCGTTCCAATTCCCTGACTAGGTTCTTTGGTAACAAAATGCATTGGGTGGTGCTTTTTCTGTGACATCATCACACCTGCCAACTGACTGCTTGTCTCTGTACCCCCATTGAAGATTTATTTGAGTTTAATTGTAGTGAACTGGTGGTTCTCGGTCTGTCTGTGTGGACTGATGGCCCCCTGGTAAATAGCACCTGGGCTGCCCTTCCAGTGATTTACTATACAAGTGCTGTATGATCTTTGCCTAAACTAGAGATCATGAGGATCCAGCAAGAAGCTGTGTAAGTTATGGTGGAGGACACGTGATGAGAACACTTACCTGACAATTCACTTCACACTTGAAAGATTTTCATGGACATTTTTTGGTTCAAAATTGTGTAATATTTGAAGCATGACCTAGACTTTCACTGGCATGAGCATGCTCTTATGATACTTATTGTTTGACGATTTGATACAACTTATTTGTTGAACTATTACATTTCACTGAAAGCTGGAGGCCAGCTTTAAACGTGATGTTTCTACAAATCCTAACCTGTGCAGAAACAACAAAGTATGTTTTCTTTTTTATTACAGGCCAATACATTAATTTCATCAATCTGTCAATCAGCCTGGACACTAGGATTACACCAGACGTTTCTTCTGCTTTTGATTATTGGAAGATGGTTCCTGCCAATCGGAGTGGGAATAACTCGTGATCAGCTTTCTCAACTTCTCCTGATGTTTGTGGGCACTGCTGCAGATATTTTGGAATTCACTAGCGAGACAATGGAAGTAGTTGTCGTAAGGTACATTGTATGGTTTTTTTTTTTATTGGTCAGAAGCAAACTAAAATCTGGGCAGATTTACCTTAGGGTCTTTAGGCTCTTAAATTCTGGGACCATGTCACTGTGCTTCTGCCTAAATGAAAGTTTTCCACGGAGGAACATGGAAGCTTTCAGTGCTTACTTCTCATTCTGAAAATTCCAGTTGCCTGGCTTTAATGAAGATCATGTTTTGTCAATAACACAGAACAAGCATGCAGATAAGAACTTCTGGCTTTACTCTGACTTTCCTGTTGTCTAAACTTGTCCCGGGTCAGTGATTTAGAAGCCTATGGTCAGTGTTATAGCCAGGTAATTAGTATCTTCTAAAGGGACCCTGTCACCTCGCCACTAGGGGGCAGTTGGCTTGATTTACTAAAGGCAAATAGGCATTTCACTTTGCAAGAGAAGCTGCGCTTTGCAAAGAAATTATGGAATTTTCCCCAGTTCTGAACGAGTTGAAACTCTGCTGACCTCTATCATCCAATCACATGCAAGAAAATGTTTTTTTCCTTCCATGTGATTTGGTATTCTTTGAAAAGTGAAATGTCACCCTATTCACTAAGCTGTGGGGTAAATTAACATGAAAAGTAAACAGCCTATTTACTTTTAGAAAAGCAACCACAGTGTCTTTGTAAAGAACATTTCTCGACCCCCATATATTCACCCGACCTGTAGAAATAAATGAAAACTGCCTCAACCTATAAATGGCCTTTGCAGCATGCAGCACACGGAATGACAACACATGCCAAACAACAACAAAGAAAAATTCCCAGCTCAACTTACCAACCAGCCTGCAACAAATCAACTTGTCCTGTCTAACAGTTCACATTAAAAACAGGGGTTTCATTTGCACACATTTGCAAATGCATGTGTAAGCTGCAGAGGCCACATCATGGCATCCCAGTATTATCTGCAGTCCTAGGTCTATAAATTTTGAGAGCCTCCATATTAGGAGAACATGTATAATAATTGATAGATTGAGGGCAGGCATGCCTGGAGGGAGCTCACCCCTCCTTAAAGGCAAAGAGGGGCACTGCAGCATATAGCACAATGGCAGCAAAGGTGTCCAGTACGCCCCCTCACCAATTTACCAATAGTATAAACAATTGGCAACTGCCCCAACCTATAACTGGCCATCGCAGCAAGGAGCACATGGAAGGGCAACTCATGTCAAACAACAACAAAGAAAAATTCCCAGTTCACTTACCAGCCAACTTGCAACAAACCAAATTGTCCGATCTTAAAGTTCACGTTCACGCCACCTGCCCTACCTCAAATCCTCTTCCTCCATCTCAGTCACAGCTAAAATCAGCAATGTCAGTGACCAGTGGAAGCAATGGTGTAGCTTTCTTGGCATTGTGACAGTGATTGGTACTAGCAATTGGTAGCTAGGCCCTTGCTCTGTCACAGAGGAGCATATCACTATCTCCCCCCGTTGGGTAGTGTAGCCAGCTTTGACAGAGGAAGAAGCAACAAATGAGCATAGATGAGGTGGGTATATGGGGGATGGGGAACCCTTTGCAGAAACACTGTCACTTTGCCCTGCATGGTTTTTAATGTGATTTCAATAGGGTTCAGGTTCTCCAAACCCTGCTTGAACCAAACAAAGAGCAGTTTGGATTATCACTAGTAATTACTTATAAAAGCCAGGAAATCACTGTAGACATTTAGCAAACAGGTGAACAAACTGTCAGTGAGTACCTGTGCTTTGTACTTAGGACCACTTTTATGATGGGGAATATTGCATCAATTAATATTAAATGAAAATGCTCATCTATATTTAAATGATTGATTTACCTGGGATCAACCAGGTTTGCAGTCATTGTGGAGCAAGCCTTCAGGCATTCAGAACTTTTGCAAGCAATGTTTAGATTCTGATTGTGTTTATATCACAGAATTACCAACAGCAAATGTTGCAGAAACAGAAAAAAAATAATTTGCACATACTGTAATGTACTGTATGTCATTAAAATATGCAGCTTCAAAAGACTGCCATCCCTACTAAAAGGGTAGCCAGTAATAGTTTTAAAAATACTAACAATAATCCACACTATTTATTTGGCCAGGCACTAGATTTCATAAGATTACATTGTTTACCTATTTCTTGCTGTGGAAAAAGTCCATTTAATAATAACCTGTTCTTGCTGTTTGTCTTCATCTTACATTCTGATCTTTTGAAAATAAAGGGATGATAGCGTGGGAGAAGTCAAATACATTAAATTCACAAAGACAGAGGCGCTGTTACTGTTTATATTTTATAACAATACTGCCCCAGACAATAAAGAATATAATCCAAATGCAGACTTCATATTCCAAATGCAGTCTACCAGCAAGTCATCAATATTACACTTGATTAAATTGAACTAAAATGGGGAGATTAGAGACATCCTATTTATTTTACAAAATATACCAATAAATGTTAAGGAAAAATGACTTTTACATTTTAGGTTCAGTGGTGTCTGTTCTTTAATGTTAGGTAAACAGGTTGTTTTTCATTATTTGCTTACAGGGTTTATGTGCTAAAAGTGTTTTGTTCTTGAGAAAGAATCAATACAAAAGCCAGGAGATGGAGATAACGTGTTCAGTTTGGAATTTGGCAAAGCACTCAAATAGCGTTACCCAAATAAAACTCTTAAGCCATTTATCATTGGATTATTTCTTTATTATGACTTCCAGTAAAAACCTTATTTGTAACACAAATAAAAAATAAAACATGTGATATGGTGGTAGGGATGTGTACAAATGCCACTTTAATGACCAATATTTAATAAAGAAGTTGAGAATCTTCACGCAATAATTTGTAATAATATTCACATCCATTATCGAATCATGTGAAAAAAATTCTCTTCCCTTTGATCAACCAATCATATACAAATAAAAAAAGAAAACAATAACTTATTTTTCACATTAATAAATAACTGAAGTGAATATTCACACAATTTATTTTATTATTATTATATTTTATTTAATATTATTAATATTTTGTGCTGTGTTTTTTGTGCATTTGTTGAGCCATTATAAGGCTAGGTTCACACCAGATGCAGAACTGAGTTGAGCTGCTATTTCAGTGCAGTCCTACTGTCTAATAATGCAAAATGCCTTGTCTCCCTATCTGCCTGGTTTACACCACCGTGTTGCAGAAATGTGTGGGCAGTGTGCGCTTAGAAAAAGTACTTCATGCAGTACTTTTTTCAGCACAGTCCATTGCGAGGCAATCCACTGCCTCCCACCATTTGGTCAGCAATTGAGTTTTATGAGATGTCTATATAACATCTCAATAAGGTTTGTTAAAAAAAAAAAATAAACAGTGTGATGCACCGAGATCAGTGCATCATCACTGTGCTGATCTCTGGCAGACCACACCGCACGCCACCAAACTAGATCAGGGTTAGATTTGGCCCACTGCAGACATATGTTTGTTGTTTCGTGTCACTACATAACCATTTTGACGATGTTCATGCACCATGTCTGCTACATGATTTTCGAGTTCTCCCAATGTGGGGTGCCTTTTCTTAATGCACATTTAATCCTTGGCATACTCTTTAATGCATACACATTTGCTTTCCAGTGTCGGACCATCTTTTATTTTACTCCATATTGTCTTGCAGCAGCACAATTATGTTCCTTGGCAAAGTTTACAACTTTCAGTTTGAAACTGGCTTCATATTTCCTTCTTCTTGCTGGAGCCATGATGGGGTCTTGTCTACCAGCCATTCTGTTTAAATACACCCCCTAATTTGTCAGCCCGCTGGATGTGTGGTAATACTGTATGTACGGTAGCTTTGGCTACATACAGTATACATACAGTATACTGTGCTGAGCCAATCACGGGGAGCGATGTATTCTATTAATGAATACAAAGCCTGCTTGGATTGGCTGAGTCAGGGAGGCGGGCTGATGATGTCACAATCTCTGCCAATCTGAGCAGGCTTTGTATTCAATAATAGAATACATCGCTCGCCGTGATTGGTTCAGTGGAGTATACTGTATGTAGCCAAAGCTACCATACATACAGTATTACCGCACATCCAGCGGGCTGACAGATTAGGGACGTTCGTTTTGAGCCAGCTTGGCCCAAACAAACTAAAGGTTCACAATGTATGCCCCACATATAAGACGACCCCTGATTTTTGGGGTATGTTTTTAAGTATAAAAAGTCATCTTATACCCTGGCAAATACGGTATATATTTTACAGCATCCTGCAGAGCCTGCAGTGCCCTGGTATCCCTGGTTTGAACAATTTTCATTCTACTTACTATCATCTGGCCTGTATGGGGCTCACCTAATAGACAGAGGGCATTGCTGCGTAAAGTCTCTTGCACAATCTTTTTAGGCATACAAGCATTTTTTTTGTTGTAATTTACTGATGTAAATGTAGCCCATTGTTTTTATGTGCCTACATACAGACCCGTAAACATGTACTGCTTTTAGGTTAGTAAAAAAGCATTTCTGAACAGTATTTTACATACATATGCACAAACAAGTGCATAGTTGCGTATGACACGTCCCAACAATTGATAGAAGAGTTTTTACATGCGTATGCACAAAAACAGGAAAAACACTCATTTAATGTACTGCCCATTCTTGAGTTGTAGTCAGTATTTTCCACTAGGAATCTAACATTCATACAGCAGTACCCCAATGCAAGTACCATAACTTATTAGGTTCAGAACAATACAATACCTGGAAACGTATTTTATACAAGCCAAAATGCCTTAGTGGCCAGAGTTGATTTTACAGATGCTGTAAGGGTGAGGGAGAATTTATTTTCCACTATAAGCTGAGAGCACCCTACAGATTTGGACCCTTAAAGGATAAAATGATTAAAGACCAGTTTATTGAAAAGACTACAAACCTAAAACATAGGGAAATGCTGCTTGGAGCCAGAATTTTTAATTTTGAACTTGTAATTTGGATTTTGGAACTTAGAATTTAGAATTCACAGAACTCATAGAAAGATAGAAGAGTGATGGCAGAAAAA